TGTTGGTGTTGTGAGTGTATTTATTTATTTTCTTTATTATTTTTATTATGAGCATTCATATCACAGTTGACTTTCCTTTGCTTCGTACGAAAAAATAGTTCGATTACTGGCCCTGTTTCGCTTTTCTTTTTTATGACAGAAGTGAAAATACCCTGCAGATTAACTAGAATTTACAATATTTTATTTAATAATTGAGTTACATAGATATAATCTATTTCGTGCGTTCTATCATGCGGCCGCGTTCGAGCAGCTCTCTGAACGACTTGATCTCGTGACGTGGTATATGACTTCTGTACTTTTGATGCATCAGGCCATAGATGAAATCCAACTCTGTCTCCTCGTTGTGACGACCCTCCGGCAGCTTGGCCAGCAGCGCACGCTGCTTGCATATGAACTGGTCGATTACTTCGCCGTCTTCCTGCTTCATTTCAAAGATCTCCATGTAGATCTGATAGGAGGGTTTTGTCGGCGAGAAGTGATCGCGAAGCAGTTTCAGTGCGTCTTGCCATGTGTGGGCATCTCGTCGCACACCCTTCCACCACATGACAGCAACGCCATTGAAGAGCAGCGAAATACCCTTCAGTGCGTCTTTGTCACTAATGCCCTCCATCTCCTTGTAGGTTTCTACGGCTGTTATGAACTCATCGACGGCGTCGTGGTCTCGCTGCCCGCTAAACCGCACCGCGCAGTTGCTGAAGCTGCCCTTCGATTGGTGATCATCATCTTTCTGCGGCGCCAGGGATTTGATTGTGTCGATGAGTATGCGAAACTGTTCGTCCGACAGCAGCGTCATTTTCTGTGGTGTTTGGTTATAAATAAATAAACAAAAATCATTTTTTTCTTCTCTGCCGTCAGCGTACCAACTAAATGAAAAAACCACTTGGAGAGCTTTTTGCGTTGTGATATATTTGTGATTCATTTGCTCTCTGAGAGCGGGCCACAAGTTTCGAACTCGAAAATCCGGCAACTGTTGATTTCGTGTGTGAGTAACGTTCTCTTGTAAATATGTTTGCATATAAACATTTAAATATATGGGTATGTGAATATGTCCGTTGTTTTGCAAGGGGACTTTTTTGTTTTTTTTTCTTAGTTTAACACGAAAAGATAAAGGCATTCAAGGAAAATTTGAAAGAGACAAATATCGAAATAGCGCAATAATTAAATTAAAATAGATTTGTTACATTTTCTTTTTGTTTCTAGGAAAATATTCTTCTGCTTTTAAAGCGATTCTTCAGCTAACTCTGTAGGACAACATCATCGATGGAAGGAGAAATACATACATACATACACATGCAAAGCAAAAATAACGCAGGATAGTATTTTTTTTTAAGATATGTGTATGTGTACTTGTATAAATAATTGTAGATTTAAATCAGCAAAATTTTTTTTTTTGAAAAGAAATAAATTATTCCACCCACCGATCGCTGCAGACATAAAAAAGGCGCGACAGGTACGCAAGTCATACACATACATATGTACACGTGTACATACACTGATAACTCAACTAGAAACAAATTATAGTTCCAGTTAATGACTATAAAAGTCAAGGTGCATGTTTGAACATGTTCAATTCCATAGAATTGATAAGAACTAAATGTATGATTGCCGAAAATGATTAATAACAAATATCTATAAACATACATATAACATTATATATGTACATATGTATGTACATGCATAAACTATTTTTTTTTAAAGCTCTCTCTGAGCGGTTTTGCAGATTATTAAATATATGTATCATTCTACACTACATTTTCTCAGAGAGCGTATTTTTGGGTTTCATAGTTCCATTTCACAATTTTGTGCTACAAAGCCAACTACAAAAGCGAAAGACATGTCAGTCCGTTAGTAATCGTTTGCTGCTGCTGTTGACTAATGTGTCTATAACATGGCTCAAACAATACAAATGACCAATGAGCAGCTGCGGGAGCTCATCGAAACGGTGCGCGCTTCTGCTGTGGCAGCTGCTGGGGTTGCCGCCGAATCTGGTGGAGCTGTCTCCGTGACCAAGTCGAAGGGCAGTTTCAGCGCCTGCACGCACAGGTTTAACGGTGCACGAAACCACGACGACGTCGAGGAGTTTATCACAAATATTGTAACATACAAAGAGCTCGAAGACATCAGCGATGAGAATGCTTTGAAAGGCATTTCGTTGCTCTTTTACGGCATTGCATCTACCTGGTGGCAGGGTGTACGCAAAGAGGCAAAGTGCTGGAACGATGCAATCGACCTCATTCGCGAACACTTTTCACCCACCAAGCCGGCTTATCAAGTCTACATGGAGTTCTTTCAGAATAAACAGGAGAATAGCGTACCCATGGATACCTTCGTTGTCGAGAAACGTGCGCTGCTCGCTCAATTGGAAAATAATCGTCACGACGAAGAGACGGAACTGGATTTCCTGTACGGTCTGTTAAACATTAAGTACCGCAAATACATTCCTCGCCAGAATATTTCAACATTCCGCGATCTGTTGGAACAGGCGCGCATTATCGAGCATAACACTCAGGAGGAATCCGATGGCCAGCCCCCACGGAAGCGTCCTTACTCAGGTATCTGAAATAAAGTATGTTTCTTTCTCTCAATGGGGTCTAATGATCGATTCGTTCTCCATAGAAATTTCGTCAACTGGTTACATCCCTGGTCGAGGTAGAGGTGGAACCCGAGGACATGGCAGAGGCCGAGGCCGAGGCAGAGGTAGAGGTAGAGGCCGGGACTTTGCTGCTCAGCCGAATGGAGAAGAGGACGTGCCAATGGCCACTGAACAGCAAAGCTAAACACATAGCCGAATATTATTTAGTCACACATGCATTGAATCATTCTTCACATTTAAAAAGTAAACAAACTTAAATAAATGAGGTGTGCAGTCGCTACAAACGATATGCTTATATGTATTTCGATTTATTCAACAAGTTAATTTAGCGCCAGAGCGCTGCCATATAATTGATAGAGTTGCCACTAGGTACTCATTCGGCAACCAGGGCAGTGGCGCATTGGTATCGAAAATGGTCTGGGACTGCGCAGTGCGCAGGGTTGCTGTGCAGCTAAAAGTATTGGTATCGGACGGTCGTATTTTTGTTATGCTGTTGTTGTTGTTTAGCAAAAATGGATCAACAACTGCACCGTCTGACGGATCGTCATTACTCGGAAGTGGAGGGCTTGCTACAGGTATACAAACATCATCTAAATATTGTTAGCATGCCAAACTTTAATGTGTCAATTATTACAACGCCCAATTTTTCGCCCGTTTTCTTCGTCTGCTGCTGCCCACTCACGCGAACGCACCCACTCTAAAAACACCAACACATACACACACATAAAAACACATTAACACAAATACACATACACGTACGCATGCAGGCTATGGACATGCCGAGTTCCGACCACGAAGAAATTGACTCGGAATCGTGCCGACTCAGCCGGTATAATGTGGCCAACCTGTATGAGGGACGTCAGCGTTGCTACACAATGCCGCACGTGCCCCCAGCGCCGCCCTCCACACCAACGTTGTTAACGTCCAACGGCAGCAGCGGCGGCAATGTCAATGGGAACGGCACTGGTAACAGTAACGGTAGCGCCAATGGCAGCTCCAGCTCACCCACCGCCAGYCTGGTGGCCGATAATCAATCAATCAATCATTTTATCTATGTTAAAAACGGTAAGAACCTGCGTCGCGAAACCCGTTGCGTTGACTCCGAGCTATCTAAGCTGTTCAACGTGGTGTCCATCACAAATCGGCTAACTGCCGTCAAGAATCGTGCGCACAAACTGCATCAACATCAGCAGCAGCATCTGCCGCTGGCCGACCGTGGTATTTTAAATACATCCCGGACCATATCCAAGCTGCATGGTGCGACGAAAATCTTTAAGATTCATCGCGATCCCAAGGAATTCCTGCGCGAAACGGACGAAGATTCAGTGTCGGCGCCCGAATACGATGAAGAGGAGGAGGACACACGTTTCCGTTTCTTTCGACGGACACGACACTCACGCCGGCATTCGTATACGCGCATGGAGCGTAAATTTGCCCGGTTCGAGCATCACGAGCGCATGGAGACGATCGTTGATAGTTTCGATGCGGCCATGAGTTTTAACGATGCAGATACCTGAGCGGATGCACCAGCTGACGCTACAACCACTAGAACAACAACAACAGAAACACCTTCAACAACAAAAAGAACAGCAACAGCAACAACAACAAGAACAACAGCAAGTGTAGCGACAGCTTCTGCATTCAAGCAACAACAACAACAACAACAACAACACCACAGGCACGAAGGGCAAGTGGTTGGCCGCCAAGTGCAAACCAATGTGATGAATGTGAATTTCAACTAAATTATTTTTATTACTACTATTATATTACTATTATATTACGATTATGATTACCGATTATCGATTACCGAACTGTTCTCTCCATACATTTAGTTCTCTTTATGCGCCAATTGGCCCGTCGCATCAGACACTCTTGTGGCACAATCTGATGGTCTTCAGATCAGGCAGATACCTCAGCAGTTCTCACTCCAGAGAATCGCTGATGCCGCCACAAGTGAATGCGTCGATGAAGCGCAGCAGGTCACAGCATTTAGTTTATAGTTCTTAGTTTTTACGCCTGGGCGGCTCCTCTCATCTGAATATTGCAGTCGACGACGGCAACAACAATAATAATAATAATATATAAATAATAATATAAAACAGCAACAAAAAATAAGAAAGAAAAGCAAGCAAAATGCACAATTTTTAGTATTTAGTTGTGGCCTGACGAGCGCCGTGTCCATTTGAATGAGGAGCAGCCAAACGAACGATTCCAATAAATGATGCACAAATTAATGTGTTGTATTTGTGAAGATGAAACCGCAATTTGTTCTTTTAATTTAACCACTAGCCAAATGGATCTACTTAAGAAATTGTTTATATATGACATATATTTTAATAACTTTCCCACATTTAATTTGTACAAAAATATAATTTCGAGTCTGTTTTAAAAAAACACTTTAGAATAAAATGCAATTCCATAAAACTGTCATAACTAAACAATTTCCTAAAGTTATCCTCAAACACATAGATTGTTAATAGAAAACCCTCCACAGTTGGATTGAGATGGCGTCTAATCTAACATCCATTATATCTTTTAAATTTTATAACTTAAATTGAGTTAAGGTTAATTTTCAAAATACGGAGAGGTCACAAAGGAGGAGCTACAGACTAAAATACATGTTCCGAGAACCGATTAATATATATATATACCGATTATAGATATATATATGCTTTAGAAGCTAAACAATTTAACAATGTTGTTAAACCCTAATAACAACATAATAATGCTAACAACTAGTTCGAGTAATGTCAATTGAGTGAGGCTTAGTTTAGATGCGCTCCTTGAAGAAGTTGGCCATCAGATTCTCTTCAAGCTGGGCTGGATCTGTCACTGGCATGCGGCAGACACGATCATGGCAAATGTAGACGGTCGTCTTGCCGTTGACCATCTTAAACTTCTGTTGCAATCGCTGATTGCATGCCGCATCCGGATGCAGTGGATCGCAGTGTACGATGATCATGCCCGGCACATAGAATTTTCGCACAATTTCTACAAAGCGCCGCGTATCCTCGGAATCGGGACCCACCACTGCCACCAAATCGAGGCCGTTTTCATGTAACAGCAGCGCCGACAACATCTCGGGCAAGGCATGGCCGAAGGGCGAGACATCGGCAAAGTAATTTAACAACTTCGTAGCACGCTCGAAATATTTCCGATCGTCGTAATAATGCGAAAGCAACGTAAGATTACGAGCAGCCACACTGTTGCCACAGGGCTCGGCGCCGTCGTGATCTGCGTAAAGAAATTGTGATGAGATGTGGAACGAGCCTAGTTAGAGTAAATGAGGCTGTACCTTCTTTAAGTCTAACTATGACATTTGGCGCATTTTGCTGAGAAAAGAAATAGGCGCCCTTATCTTCATCCCAAAAGAGTTTGTCCTGTGTCTCCTGCAGCGTCTTGGACCAATTCAAAGCTTCCATTTCCAAGGAGGCCTTGTAATAGTCTAGCAAGCCTTTGATTAGAAACGCATAATCGTCCAGGAAGCCTTCAATGCGAGTGCTGTAAAATGGATCACATATAGTAGATATATGTGGTTAAACTCTCTCATTCACTTACGCATTCTGCTCAAGCGTATCATCCGCCACGCCCGCTCCGTAGCAGGAGCGCAATAGCAGCTTTTCATCTTCATCGTACAGATGTTTGCGCACAAACTCCATCAGTTGCTTGGCCGTAGCCAAATACGCATCTCGCTTGGCCGTGCCACAATTGGCCAGCTTTGCCAGGCCGGAGAGTACCAAGCCATTCCAGCCACAGATGATCTTCGTGTCCAAATGTGGACGTGGACGCTGATCCCTAATCTTGTGCAATATCTCATTCGCTGTCCGCAGCAGCTGCTGCAGTTTCTCCAGCTCCATGTTGAAGTTCGAGCAAGTGTCCTCCTCTGAGCCACGCACTATCAATATATTCTTGCCAGTCAGATGGCCATGCGGATCACTGGATGGCGAAACATTGCCCGACGGCTTCAGGTCATAATGGAAGCTGTAAATCTCAAAAGCACGTGCTGCACTGATATCCTTAAAGCAAGATTCTTCTTTTTGAAATGCCTGCTTCACTTCATCCCATGTCCAGGCATAGAACGCACCCTCAACCTTGACCGTATCCTCATGGGTAGGTAAGGAATCGGCATCCTCGCCTGCATAGAAGCCACCTGCCGGATGCCGCAAATCCTTGATCAAATACTCATAGATGCGATCTGCATAGCCCAGAAACTCTTTGCTTCGGGTCAACTTGTAGGCATTGGCATACGCAGCCATTAGTTGTCCCTGATCGTACAGCATCTTCTCGAAGTGTACATTGTGCCAATCTCGCGTGGTCGCATAACGCGCAAAGCCGCCGAATATGTGATCATTGATGCCGCCACGTCCAATGTGATCCAGCGTCTGCAGCACCATGTCCAGCACATCCACATCCTTGGTAACCAAATAGGCATGGAACAAGAAATTGAGTCGTGGTACTTCCGGAAACTTGGGCTCTCGGCCAAAGCCTGCATGCTGCTGATCGAATCGCTGCTTATGTACGGCCACCGCCTCCGCCAGCTTAGCATCGCCGCTGCCCCGCTCGAAGGCCATTTCTGCACTAGTTCCAGCACTCTGATTGGTTTGCATGGCCTGCAGTAGAGTGCTGCCCGCTTTTTTGAGGGAATCGCGATCTGCCACCCATTTCTTAGCTATCGACTCCAGCACCATGGTGAACGAGGGCATGCCATAGCTGCGCGCAGCAAAGAGTTTTAGGGGTTTTCAGTCTTGAAAGGAAATGTGTTATGCCTTACCGCGGCTTTGGCGGAAAATACGTCCCAGCTGCCAGTGGCTCCAGATCTGGCGTTAGCCAAACGCTCATTGGCCAGCCCCCACTGCCCTTGGACATGAGGAGGAATTGCATGTAGACCTTGTCTATATCCGGTCTCTCCTCACGATCGACCTTGATGTTTACAAAATGTTTGTTCATCACCTCAGCCGTGGCGGCATCCTCGAACGATTCATGCTCCATGACATGGCACCAATGGCACGTGGAATAGCCTACTGACAAGAAGATCAGCTTGTTCTCGCTGCGCGCACGCTCAAAGGCTTCCTCACACCAGGGATACCTTTCAAGGAGGTTGCCAGAAGGGTTTACTTTTTTATCTCATTTCTTATTAGAAAACATACCAGTCGACGGGATTATGCGCATGCTGCAGCAAATATGGCGACTTCGATGCTGCTAATCTGTTAGTGTGCTTTGGCGTCTCCGCCTTTGTTTCGCCACCCGTTGCCATGCCACGAAACAGGTGCTGATGTTGCTTCTGCTGATGTTGATGCTGCGGATGTGCTGCTGTTGTTGTCGTTCTGCTACGGTTTAGTCATTTATATTAAAATATCGCAAGCAATTGGTATTTTAGAACTTACTCGTCTATTAGCCAACTGCGATGTAATTGTGTTTGAGGCGCTGTAATTGCCAAAGCGCTTCTAATCCAGTTTTGGCAGAGTGTTTTGCCTCTAAACATAGCAATTTAATTGATAATATTTAATCGAAAGGGCATTCCATCAGCTGATTACATGGATTAGCAATATTTGTTATCGATTGCCAATCAATATTATTCAAACATTTACACGAATAACAAAAGCTAATGTATGCCACGTTAACATTTGTTTTGAATTACAAGAAAACACGTTTGGTAACATAAATTATTGCTTTTCTTTGTAAATAAGCAATACCACTGACCAGTGGCAATACTATGTGATGAAATATCAATGATTGCTATCGATATATCACATCTTCGATAGTTGCGTGACGATAGTTAAGAGGCAATAGTTACAATTGGGTTTAAGCCACAGTGGCAACGCTAAAGGTACTGCCAGATCACATCTCAGCGCGGTCAAATTTGAAAACAGAATTCTGTGGCTAAGCTATTTAAATTGTTTTAAAATTTTTATTAATGCATACAGTTTATCTTTGCTTTTGATAATTATGTAAAAAATTGCTTACACATATGCGGTTGATACATAGTTTACCCTACATACTAATTGAAAATCACAAATGAACATAAAATATTTATACATTATAGTGTGTGTTGTGGTTGAATTTTAAGCACATTAAGTTAAGTTAAATACACACAGCCCGACCAGCAGCTGAGGCAATTCTCGCAAACAGCCCTCAACTTAAAGTTGACAGCACGGAAAATTGAATTGAGAGCCCAGCTAGCAATCGCTTTGGACTAGCGCATCGCTTAAGGCGTTCAACTGCTCCTCGCTGCTCTTGATCCTGTCGGAGAGGTCGCGTGCATCGGCAATCAGTTTGGCCTTCATATTAATAAAGTAATCATAATCGGCGCACATGTCAACGTTGAGATGTTTGCCAATCAGTTTGGCAATGCTGCTGCCACGCCTATCGATGTCAGACTTGAGCCGTTGCGCCTCCTCCAGCTGCTCATAGAGACGTTCACGTTTCGCTGCCAGCGTACTCTGTAATAATTAAAAATAAAGAATATTTAGTCTATGTAGAGAGAGAGAGGCAAATCAATCTGTCTTTACCTTCTCCTGCTGGCTGCTAATCGTCTCTAGACTGCTATCAGTTTGCGCCAAACGCTCGGAGAGCGAGAGCAAAAGGCTGGTTATGTGACCCACATCATCGATGTAGGTGCGGAACTTGGAGGCTTCGCTGGGACGCACCTTCTCCGTTAACTTGGCCAGCAAATCGAGGCCCAGTTTGTCATTAATGCTGCACTCATCGCAAATTGTTTGCTGCTCACTTTTGAGCGAGCCAATTTTTTGGTTCAACTGCTTGATCAGCGCATGCTGCAAAGACACAGATATTGTGGGTTAGCATGAGGCTTATAGTAATGATATGGACTACTGGATACTCACCAGCTGCTGCTTGATTAAATTCGTGCTATCCGTGTCACTTGCATCGTCCTCATCCGTCAGCTGCAGCTCCACGCTGACCAGCTGCAGCTCTGTCGTAGCCACTGAGTTGCTGGAGCTGCTGCTGTTGCTGCTGCAGTTGCTCCTGGCGCTGTCGCCCTTCATGCGCATCAGCGTCGAGGTGCCCACATCTCGCTTGGCCGGACGCAGCTGCACATTCGGATTGTACAAATTGTTGACATACTGTGTCGTTGGTTTATATCTTTTTGGTGTTAGGATTTCGATGAGTTTGTCGTTGGGCAACAGCTGCTTGATCAGCTCCAAGGCCGCCTGCTCGTACTCCAGCTCGATGGCCTGCTGCTGACGTGGCTGCAGTGTGGTGCGTGTCTGTTGCTCCTCGCGCGTGGCCACCAGCTCATTGTCCAGCAGATCCTCATCCGTTTGGCAGGCCATGTCCGAGGTGCTGGGCGTGGGATTGACAATCAGCACCAGTTCGCTGCGCTGCATCAGCTGCAGGCTATCCATGGGCGAGGCTTCGGGCGTGGCTGCCGTGGCCGCTTCAACTGCTGGCTCCTCCTCCAATGGAGCAGGGGCTGCTGGGCTGGGCGGCTGCTCAGTGGCTGTGGCGCTGGCTGTGGCTGTGGCTGGCTCTGCAGTGGTGCTCGTGCTCATGCTCGTATTCGTGGTGCTGCTCGGCTTGCCATAGCTGCTCAGCAGACCCGCCGTATCACACAGATGCGCTGACATCAGCTGTGACTGCAGCTGTGTTATCTTCTCAATGTTCTCACGCAACGACTCCTGCCGGCTGACAGGTGGCTTCGGCTGCGTCGCTGTCGTCGTCGTCGTCGTTGTCGGCGTGGTGCTAACTACCTCAGCCCGAAAGATGTGTGCGGCTGCATCGTTATTGACATTCGCATTCCCATTCACTGGACTGCACTCCAGTGAGCTGGTGCTCAGGCTGCAGTCGGAATTGGAGTTGGCCGGCGAGAGGAGCTGCGGCGGTGTCGCTGGCAGCGATGCCTCCTCCAGCGTCGTCTCCAGATTCTGTGCAACCTGCTTCAGATCCACCTGTGACTGGGAGATGAATGTGGTGGCATCGTTTAGGGACTGCAGTTGCTTCACATCGTACGACTGAGATCGCGTAAATTGTGGCGCTGGCGATCGGCTTTTGCTGCTGTAGGCGTGGCCCATCGTGGGCGTCGAGTACCGTTGCTGCTGTTGCTGCGGATGCTGTGGCTGCTGCATCGTCTGGCCATAGATCATGGCATAGGCTGTATTATTGCCGCCAACAGCATTCGTTGCATTCGTGGGCGTGGCATTCGTTGCGAGATTATTATTGGAGCCGTAGCGCATGGCGACAACCACATCGCCCGGCGAACTGGGCGTCATCGGCTTCACCGGCTGCTGCTGCAGCTTCACACCCAGCGGCAAGACATCCGGCAAATTGTTGGGCATTTTCAGCTTGCCCGCAGCAGCGGCTGCCGCCGCAATGCCGTAGCTGGGCTTGCTGTGCGCCACCAGGTCCTCGTTGGAGGTGAGCGTCAGCTTATAGATGCCATGATCCGGATCTGTGTTGTTCAGCTTCTCCAGGCTCTGACGCGGCAGATACGAGGCCTTCGAGTTCGATCTGCAAGTAAATGAAAGAAAGCGAATTAGTAGGGGTCGCTAGAGTTAGCTACAATTATACTTAATATATAGGCGTACAAAATTGATAAAAGTTGTATTTATGTACAGAAAAATATATATTTTTATATTAAACAAAAATATTTAAATCTTCAGAGAAATTGAAAAGATTCGCGATCCCTTACAATAAATAACACATATATTTAAATACTAATTTTTTTTTATTTTTTATTTTTAATATATCTTTTTTTTTAAATATATTACATATCTTTCTTCCAAGGAAATTTTTGATTCTTTTAATCTGAGTATATCGACTTTTGAGCACATGAAAGAACGATTGAGTAGACCAAGACGYCATCAAATTAAATTATATAATAATACTAATCTATGTTTAAAGGCTTTTAAGATCTTATTGAATGTGGATTCTCGACTCTTAAATTTAACAGAAATCGAATAAGGGCTTGCACTAAACTGAGCTGAGTATAATAAATATAAATTTTTATGTTTATTACATAACCATATATATCTGTTTATTTATTGACTTTGAGTTCAGTCCCAACTGCAATAGCAACCGCAAAATCTTGTGAAATTTGCAGCGCGACAAACTTCATCCAGAGTCACGTGTGCGCAGCTAATCAGCATATGAAATTGCCTTTAACAGCCCTACCCAAAATCGTAGGCAAATGTCAATCGATATGTACAATATATACGATATGTACGATATGTATGTGTATGGAGAGGTCATCTGGACGGGGTCATCGCAGTTCACGATTCGCCACAGTAGCCACATTTATTATGCAAATCTGAGGCAACAAGAAACGAGCTGCTAATTGAGTCCTCCATGGGATCAACTGCACAGATCTTAACAGCTCAACAGCTCAACAGCTCATCTTCATCAGCCGCAGCAGCAGCAGCATTTCTCAGCACCCACATGGCGAAAGTGGCTGCTCCACAAAACAAGACAATAATAAAATTAAATCAGAAAGAAAGAAAAAAAAAAACAAAAACAAGGTAAACCGAAAAATTATTCTGTGCACGATGCGCGGCGACAACATTTTTGTTTCGGGTATTAAAAACGAAAGTGAAATGTTTACAGTGCAATTATAAAGAGTTTTATGTTTCAGTTTAGTGTGTGCAAAGGGGGCGTGGCAGGCAGTCAAAAACTTTCAAAAAAAGTGCTAAACTCATTTTCAATTTTAAGCAATTTTTTTCGCAGTTAGGCCACCCACAGAAGTGTATTAAAATGAAGGTGTTGCTCTAACGGTTAACATTTTTGGCCAACAAAATGTGCGTAAAAACTATTTAGATATATATATTATGAGCAATATATATGTATATAAAAGAAAGCCGACATAGAAATGCTTTGCATAAATTAAGCCACATTTTGGCTGCTTACATCACACTCGAATGTATCTGTATCTTTAGCTGTATCTGTATCTATAGCTGTGTATCTGGCTGGCTGTGCATTTGCATAAGCAAGCCTTTTGTCTCGTTCCCAACGGCTCACACTCACACACACACACATACATGCACAGACAGAGCACATTTGTTGATTGTAGCCGACAAAACGCAGCGCAGCTTCTTCACTTTCTTCAGCGCAGGCATCCGTCAGATACATTAGCTGAGCTGTGGATGTATCTACAGCTGCCGCTGCTGTTGATAGCTGTTCACTTGTTGCTTCTCTTAATCACTTCCGTTCGCCTGTTAAGTAATATGTGATGTGTATGTGTGTGTGTGTGTGTGTGTGTCTTTAGCTAATTTTGCCATGTTTATTGTTTTAGTTTTTCGTTTTTCGGCATTTGCATATAAAAGATATCTTTTTTTTTTTTTTTTGCATATTACAGAATGTCTCACAAATTACTTATATATTTATAAGTCTGTGGCTTCCTATTCACTCTCTTGCTTTTTATCTTGTTTTGACACAGGAAAAGTGTTCGTTGATTGATATCCTAAGCTTAGTATTTACCTATGTTTACCTGGCCTTTTGTTTGCACCGCGCTTATCTAACATAAATATTATATTATTATAATCTTCAACTCGGGTTTACACTGGACTCTAAATGTACTTGGCGTCTATGTTTTTGATAACTCGCTGAGTGTGCGTTTGTGTATCTTATTTGTCATCAAAAATACACACACATACACATTAACACTCTGTGGACAAGCCCCCTCTTAGCTTTGATCATATATACATATATATATATTTTTCATAAATTTAATTGGATTTTTGATTGAGCAAATGCGCGCGTATGCTAGCGCTAAAAATAGCAACAAATAATAAAAATAATAATGTTGAAAAAAAAAAGCTATTGTAATGAGAAATTAACAGCCATGAAAATGTAAATAAAATTTGTCATAGTTTTGTTTGACTACAAAAAAAAAAAAAAAAAAAAAAAAAAAAAAAAAAAAAAACTGTTTGCTTGACTTAGTCAGGTTAAGTTTTTATAATATTTTTGTATTTTTCTGTTTTTTATTTTTTAATAGAAATTAAAAAAAATATCTAAATATATAATTTGTTAACGGCATTTATTATCATTATTATTACTATTTTGTTTCATATTTTGATGAGTAATTTTAAGCTTTATATATAAATTATTTTTATTCATACAAATTTTTTTTTAAATGTTTCTAACTCATTGTATTTTATATTTATATTTTTTGTGCATATATTTGTTTAAACAAGTTATTTTATATTTATGAAATTTTTAAGTTAGCTAACTCAAGTTTTCTATACTGTTTTTAGAGAAACAAAATGATTTCTTCTGAATAGTAATAACAATAATAATAATAATACTYATACGAATTTAACCTTCTATATTAATAACATTTAGTTATAATTACGAATTGAAAATTCAAGTCATTTTATGAACACTTTGATATCAATAAACACGTATAGCACAAAGCATATTCTTTGTATTGCCCCACTCAATCTATTGATATCACTAGAGCTGTCATAAAATCTATAGACTAGACTTTATTTTGTATTTAAGTTAAATTTACAATGAATTAACTGTGCGGTGGGCTGATAAGCGAAGTAAACAATGGTTTCTAACTGAAAGGCAGGAAAAAAAACAAAAAATAAATTTTATAAAAAAAA